TTTTTTTTTTTTTTTTTTTTTTTTTTTTTTTTTTTTTTTTTTTTTTTCTTTTTAATAATTGAAAAAAATGAATATATTATTTAAATGAATATATTATTTAAATGGATATATTATTTAAATGGATATATTATTGGAAATAAAATAAATAAAATACAAAGATAAAAAAAAATTAGTATACGATAATCATATCGGAAAAATCTTTGAAATTGTAAGAAAGTAGTATTACACACATCATTGAATAAGTCATATTTAACGGATTTTTTTTTCATTGTGCAATAAACCCCAAATCGTGAGTGATTTTTGCGATTTGATATAATTTTATCATATCACTTATTTTATAGATGCTTCTATTTTTCTAATTTTGAAAATTTTAGAATTCGAATGGTTTCTTCTTTAAGTACCATTCTTCCATGATAATAGATATTATAATTAAAAATACATTTACCGTATATTTCAACAATTGGTCATTAGCATATATTGTGTGTATATAATAATATACACTTCACCCTCACTATAGTGAATCCCAATGGGCTGGAGATTAAAATTCGGTATAGTGAGAAAAGAAATTCACTATACTGAGGGTCATTCTATTAGAAATCTGTACCTGAAATTTTCTTCATTATAGCAAGTTATTCGTTATATGAAAATACGCTGTACTTTTTATAGTTATATACAAAGTATATATATATATACAGTACTTTAAAGACTTAATAATGCATTTAAATTGTAACAATAAAAAAAAATATATATATTTTTAATTGATCCCAATTGATCATTTTGTGTTACATCTCATTTTTTTTAAAGATTCTTCTTTTTTTTTTTTACCTTTTTATTTAGGGATTTCTTTAAAGTACTTAAAGTAGATTCATTTAAACAATGAATAATACTGTATCACTTTTATTGTATTTTTTTTTCCCCCTCTAATTTTTTTATAATTATAATTTTCTTGGCTTTTTTTTTTAAATTTGGAAAGATTTGTCCTGAATAATCCTGAATAATTACTATTTTGAATTTTATTTATGTCCACGTGATAATTCTGATAAATGAAACATTATTTATAATATAATGTTGGTAAAGAATGGTAAAATGCGTAATATTACCGTAAATTCAAGTAACAATTTGATGTTACCTTTACCTCCCTTTTTTTCTTCATTAAAATTAATCCCCGGTTTAATAAACTTTAATATATTTAATATAACTTTATTTTAATTAAATTATTTTAATTTTACCTTATGTAACATTAATTCTTTAACATCACAATCACGTCAATGGTCACTCCCTTTAACAATGATGGAAGTGGCAAATCCAATGTAAATCATTTTGGACTAATCCTTCTCTTAATCTTTTTCTAAACTTTCTTATGAGGAAGAAATAAAAGATTGAATCGTTCTTATATAACTAAATTTTTAATATGAGAATATTTAGTTTGATATGTAAAGTTATGTACGTCTTCAAGTCTATCAATATTTAATAATAGGCTTTTTTTTTATATCTTAATTATTTAGCATTATTTAGCATTATTTAGAATTATTTAGCACAGAAAATTAAACTTGCAAATAGAGTAAAAGAGTATTATTACTTCATATTAAATTCGTCGAACTGGATGTAGCATACCACGTAAGCCACGTAAATAATACTAAGATGATAATGGATGCGATCGTTACGGAAGTCGACTCTTATTCAGCTATTGTGGGTAATAAAGACGAAAGCCGTCATAGATAATAATAACAACAAAATACTATTAAATGGAGATATCGATCGCAAGACGAACCGAATACCGTTGATTCATGTTCTTTGGTAGAAGGTATACCGGTACAGTGGTATCCTGAAAGTTGGACTTTATGAGAAAAAAAAGAGTTCCACGCGCCGTCATAGATTATAATAACAACAAAATATTATTAAATGGAGTACCGTTGATTTATGTTCTTTTGGTAGAAGGTATACCGGTACGGTGGTATCCTGAAAGTTGGACTTTATGAGAAAAAAAAGAGTTCCACGCGCCTTCATAGATTATAATAACAACAAAAATATTATTAAATGGAGTACCGTTGATTTATGTTCTTTTGGTAGAAGGTATACTGGTACGGTGGTATCCTGAAAGTTGGACTTTATGAGAAAAAAAAGAACGTAAAAAGTTCTACGCTGTTATCATGAATGACAACAACTACCTTGTGGGAGAATTACGATCAGGATTCAATATCCCTACGATTGAAATAACTTACTTAATCATATTAATGATCGAACGTTAAGATTTAAGAAACATTACTCAACTTACTCGACGAAGATTTCGAAATTTACGATATTTTAAATGATTTTCTTCTTTAAATATAAATTAGGTATACTATAACTTAGCATTTTTTGTTTAATATTCTTATTTTAATAATTGTAAGCTTTAAGGATGTTACATAATGGGTTTTAAACGTTTTAAACGGCTCTGAAGGGTGATCATTAGAATTGAACTTAACGATATAAGTTCATTCTTTACGAAGTTTGGTCATGCTTGACATTTTCAATTGACTTGTGGCAAGCACTTAAACAAAACCTATATTTAAATACGAAATTGGCTTGGGATTTACTTTGGGTAGTATAGTTTATTTTTATAGTTAATCTATAGTTATAGTATACTAATTACTAAGCTTGTAAAATAAGCTTATCTGTTAACTTAGATAACATAGATAACATATTACAAATAGATTCACCAAACACGTATCCAATTAGCCAAACATGCTCTTCTGTGTCTTCATTGTGAACCATTCATCCATGCCCTAAACCCTTCAAAATTCAAACTTTGACTTTCTTCTCTGCCTACTTTATGACATTCTTAATAAGTATATTCCACATGTATGTAATAGAATGGGTTCTTATTCCAATTAACTTTACAGGATGTTACAGGATGTCATGGATGGAACTGGAAGATAATAGAAAAAGAATTAAATGGGTTCTTCAATTAACTTTACAGGATGTTATGGAAGAATTGTAATTAATTGATCATTGTAATTTTTATTTTGCGTCGAGAATACTTCTAGAAATCATTCATATCAATAACTTGACCACGATGAAGAATTTTACATCTTTGGTAATCTTTCATTGATTGGGTGGATCTTAAAATCTGCAATTTGTCATTTGAATTCCTTTTACGAATGTCATAATTCGTAATTCGTAAATCCTCCTTATGCATTTTTGGTAAATATAACATGCGCTCAAATACTAAAAATGTTTACCTTCCTAATACTAAATTGGTGTGATTCATTTCTTTAGCTGTTAGATTAAAAAAATAATTTTTTTACATTTTAATTAAATGTAATCTTTTAATTTCCTCATACCATGGGTTGATTTAATGAAATAATCTTTTCTAGTATTATTCATCTATATTTAAGAATTTCTATATATGTTTAAATTGATCATCAGATAATTTTAATGTTTATATCTAGCTTCATGACAAACCTTTTTTCAATTTAGTTTTAATTTCTACACTGAAAGTTGTCGTGTTATTTGTGAAAGAAAATTAATAAAAATGTCGGTTGATTTAGCTATTTTTAAACAAATTGAAGCTTCAATGGAAGAAGAATCTATGAGAAAGGATGTGAGTATTTTTCTGAATTTTAATAAAAATTTTTTCGTTATTATTTAAAAATATATATATATATTATTTAATGTTTGTCCTTTTAAATATAGGAAATATACAGTTGTGTTCGTGATTATGAAAAAACTTGTCGATATATTATGGCAGTTTTGAATCGAGTTCACTCTGCTTCGTCTGAAGAAGGTACAGTAATATTAACAATTTATTATAAAGTTATTGAAATATTATTCTTTTGATAAATGATTTATCATTTGAAAAAAAAATCATTTTTTTTTAAAAAAATCATTATAGTACCAGAAATTGCGAAAGAAGCTCTAGGAAGATTTAATGAAGTTAAACAACATTTAGCCAATTTATCCAAGATCGTGCCTCATCAACAATTTTATAAGTTCGTTATTTATTAAACCTGTCAAAAGAATTCATTATTTTTTTATTAATATTTAATATATTAATAATTTGATTTTTTAATATATTTTATTTTAAAAAAGATATTATGATCATTGGTGTCGAACACTTCAAAAATCATTGTTTATTGCTGCATTCGCGATATATTTATCATCAGAAAAATTGATTTCTTCGGAACAAGTAGAAAATTTATGTGGTGGTAAATAATTATAAATCTTTATTTTATTTTATTTTGTTTTGTTTTGTTTTAATTTTAATTTTTAATCAATTTAATCATTTTCTTTTAAATACACATATATATAAAAGTTAAATTAAATTTAAATAATGACTTACAAGATTTTCATATAACTGTTGAAGATTTTCTTCATAGTTTTGTTACTTTAACTGATGAATTGGTAAATTTTTATTATTATTATTTATATTAATTTATTATAATAATTTTAATACAAACTTTTTTATCTTAGTCACGATTGGCCGTAAATTCAGTTACTGCAGGAGATTATAATAGACCTTTAAAAATTTCAAAATTTGTAAAAGAATTATATACCGGATTTCAATTATTAAACTTGAAAAATGATTCATTAAGAAAAAGATTTGATGCTATTAAGGTATGTTTAATTTTATGATATTATATATATATATAATGGTTTAAATAATAACATTATTTTATTCTAATTTTTTTATCATCAATGAATTATTTACGAAAAAAAAAGTATCATATTAAAAAAATTGAAGAAGGTAAATTTTATAAAAGATTTTAAATGAAAGGTTCTTCTATTCATTCTATTCATTCTATTAATCTATTAATCATTTTTTATTATGATTTATTATCATTTATTTAGTCGTGTATGATGTTTCACTAAGGAAACTTTCCGGTTCAACTAATGATGGTTCAACTGATGATACAATCATGAAGTAATGGAATATGAAGATTCAAAGTATCAAAGTAAAAACAGGTAAATTATTCCAGAGGTAAATTAGTTCTAATTATAATGATTCAAATGTAATGCAAAGAAAACTAAGCATAAAGATTTTTTTTTTCTAAAAAAAAAAATAGTCTCCTTACAAAATTTAATGGTTCGCTTTGTTTAATTTACTAAGTAGTTAAGTAGTTGTAAATTTTTGTAATGTAAATTTAAAATGTATATCCCATTTATAATGAAGATTAATTCCTTGTAAACACAAAAAATTATTAAAAAGAAACTTTTTTTACAGTTTATATTCAAGTTGAATTTAGTATAATCAAAGTTTATTTTATTTAGAGTTATATTCAAGTTGAATTTAATATGATCTCAAAGTTTATTTTATTTGCAGTTTATATTCAAGTTGAATTTAATATCATCTCAAAATTTACAGTTTATATTCAAGTTGAATTAATATGATCTTAAAGTTTATTTATTTTATTCAAGTTGAATTTAATATTATCTAAAGTTTATTTTATTTGTAGTTTATATTCAAGTTGAATTTAATATGATCTCAAAGTTTATTTATTTACAGTTTATATTCAAGTTGAATTAATATGATCTCAAAGTTTATTAATTGATATTCAACTAATTCAACTTGAATTTAATATGAACTCAAAGTTTAAAAATAATTCTAAAGTTACTAGTTACTCTCAAGTTACTCTTAAGTTAATCGAAATATGATAAATCTCTTATCAAAATATATACAAATATAAATTATAATATTATAAAAATAAAATTAATTCTTTCTGAACAAGGATTTTCCTCGTGTTTGAACACGTGGATTTGCACTAGTTGCTCGAGAACACGCTGTTGACTTCGTTCGTGCAGAAAAACCATTTCGACCAGGTGTAAATTCGTAAACATCATCCATCAGAGAACTATTCGAGCCTTTGACAACTCGAAGATATTTTAAAACCTTTTCAAGCAAACTTCGAATTGAAATATGTTGAAGCCGTATGGATGTAATCGATTTTGATTCTTTATTTACATTCTGTGGCGGACTATATAAAAACATTGGATTATTATATTAACTTTTAAAGTTTGAATTTGAACAGACAAATAAATAAATTAGGACTCTTACTCTTTTGGTGGCTGTTTCGCAGTTATAGTTGGTTGAACCGGCCTGCCGCTAATAGAAAAATTATAAGGATTAATTATTATAAAATATTCCGCGAAGTATTCTAAATTAAAAAATAGTAATATATTTACCATTCACAACGTGAAGATGGCGTTTTTTTGCCTGTAGGTGGTGTCTTTTGGGTATAATTTGTTCTCTTTCGTTTTTTACTTTAAAAAACAAAAAAAAATTATATTAATAAATGCAAAAAATTGCAGTAAATTTATTATATAAATTCACCTATACCTTGAATCTTCGTCAGAAAAGAAAGAATCATCTTCTGAGGCGCTCGTAAGAACCACACTTAAAGATAGGAAAATGATAAAGTTTAATAAAATGATTTTCCTTAAATTAAGTAAAATGAAACATTTTCAATATACTTTGAGCGTTTGTTGGACATAAAATTGGGAAGGGTACGTGGTCGATCTCTTTTAGGTTTGCCACGTAAGCCTTCACGTAAGCCTTCATCAGGATTATTTATTGCACTTCCTTCAGTTTGAGTATCTGATTGCAAATCAGATGAAATACTATCGATTTGCGATGCGTCTTTGGTGTGAATATTCATTGAATCCATTGTTATGGATTGCTGTATATTGTTGTATTGAACAGGATTTTTCCCTTTAGAAACTTTTCTTGAACGCTTCCGTGGCAAATAATATTTCTTGTTAGGAATTGATGGAGAATGTGCAATAATGAAATCATTATTGACTTGATTATGATTCGCTAAGTCGTCTAATATATCGAGCCCGTTCGAACTGATTCTTTTGCTTGACTTATTATTACGAACTGCAGACGCGATGTTTGTATCTTCTGATATCATGTAATATTTAAGTATGGAATTTCGAATATAAATATATGTAAATCCTTAAAAATTTGAGGTCCAAAACTTACGAAAATCATAATTTAACAATAAATATTTATCAATTGGTTTTCGTTTCTTATCTATGATAGTATCGAAAATCCATTCCGGATGGATGACTATATATGAGATATGTCTAATAAGCCTTATAAACGAAAAAGAAAAGAAAAAAAGAAAACAAGTTTATTATAAAATATTTAAAATAAATAAAGAAAATAATTTATTAATACCTTTGAGTATCGTGTTCTTCTGGATCAATACTAAATAGATATTCGGGAAGTTTATCATCCTTGTATTTATCTTCAATTCTTCCACCATTTTTTCCTATTATAGAAAGTTAATATATATATAATACGTCAAAAATATTTTTTATAAATACATACTCCAAAGATCTACATATGTTCTGTCTACAGAGGAACTGAACCAGGCGGTAGTGTCTTGAAACATGTTTGAGAAAGTTTAGTTGAAACTTTTTGATTTAAAATCACGTATTTTTAACAAGATCGTCAGATCGACCACATGACCCAATATGGCCATTTACATTCAAATCACCGCAGCCGATTTACAACAAAGACTGATAAATGAACCATGTATATCGAATTCGAGAAAAAATCAATTTCTTTTACCTTAATTTTTGAAATAAAAATTCCTTAAAAAGTTTTCAAAATGTCATATAGCAGACCAAGTACAAGTGCTTCAAATGAAGCACCAAAAGATTATGAGGTTCTTATTGTATTGTTTTTAACCGAATTTTATAGTTGTCGTGTCAATTATTTACAATAAATCCTTTATTAAGGTTCCTCATGGTCCAAACGATTCAGTTTCAGCAGTCTCATTTTCACCAGTAGCCGATTTCTTTACAGTATCTTCGTGGGACACTTACGTAGGCGTTTTTTTATTTACATAAGTATTTTCGTTTTTAAGTTTTACTTATATTATTTCAATATTTGATTAGGTTAGAATCTATGAAGCCAACATGTCTACCGGAGCAGCAATAGGCAAAGCTCTTTATAATCATGAGAAACCTGTATTATGTTGTGCATGGAGTAAAGTGCGTGAATTTTAACTTATTTTTGAAATGTTTGCACGAATATAAATTTACTTGTTTGCTTATTATTTTTAGGATGGAACTAAAGTTATTTCAGGCGGTGCGGATAATGCAGGAAGATGTTTTGATATTACTTCTCAACAAGTAGGCCAAATAGCCGTACATGACCAACCTATTAAATGTATTAAATACATTGAAAATCATAATCTCGTGTTGACTGGAAGCTGGGATAAGACACTTAAGGTTAAAAAAAATTCATATTTAATTTGTTCGCTTTAATTTTATTATAGTTAAATTTTTTAAATTTTTGCTAATAAAATTTGTATATAGTATTGGGACATGCGCTCTTCCACGCCCGTACTTACTGTTAATCTTCCAGAACGATGTTATGCTTTGGATTTTTCTTATCCTGTATTAGTTGTAGGATGTGCCGAAAGACACGTCCAAATTTTTGATCTTAGTAAAGACCCAAGGACACCTGTCAAGGTTTGAAGAAGTTTATAATTCATTTTTATTTTTAGTTTTTTCTGGTATTAATCTTTTCCTTATTAATTTATATATTATTAATTCTTATTTTAACAAAAGAGTCTTATAAGTCCTTTGAAATGGCAAACTCGATGCATTTCAACCTTTTTAAATCGTAGTGGATATTCTATGGGAAATGTTGACCGTGACTGTACTGGATATGCTATAGGAAGTATTGAAGGACGTGTCGGAATACAATATTTTGAAGAAAAAGAAAATCAGTAAGTTGATAATGTTTATTAACATATATATTTTAATCAAGTATATATATTTGTCATTATATGCATATAATTAACATTATCTTTACATTTAATTGAAAAATTATAGATCGAGTTTCTCTTTTAAATGTCATCGAGAAAACAATCACGTACATGCAGTTAATGCTATTTCTTTTCATCCTACGTATGGCACATTCTCAACCGCAGGAAGTGACGGTACTTTTAATTTTTGGGATAAGGATTCTAAACAACGTCTTAAAGGTTTCAGTTCAATTGGAGGTCCAATTACTTCTACTACTTTTAATAGTAACGGCAGTATTTTTGCTTATGCGTTAAGTTACGATTGGAGTAAAGTAAGTTGATTATTTCATAATAATATTTACAAAATTTGTAAAAATTGTTCATATTAATTTATGTCATGCGCATCAATCAAATAGGGTTTGATATCGCAACCACAAAGGACTGCAGTTTTCTTGCATGCTGTAAAGGACGAAGATGTCAAACCAAAACCACCTAAAAAACGTTAATTACTCGAATCAAATATTTATATTATAACATTTCGAATCACAAATAAAATTTTGCATCATATGTAGTAATAAATGAAAGATTTTTTTTTTAATAATTAGTATGATATTATCAACATCAGAATAGTAAAATAAATTATATATAAATTATATAGAAAAAAAAAAATCATAATTATTAGTAAACATTTGTATTTTGAATCAAAGTTAGTTAGCATTGCTTTATTTTGTAAATATATATATATATAAAAAAAGAAAAAAAAAAATTCCTTAAATATATCTTTATTCTTAATTCCTTTGTTCAATCAATCATAAGTTTTTCCGCAGAATTAAAATAAATTTCGATCATCAATTCTATTACTTTTTATGGTATATGGTAAAATAGTACGCGACTTCTAGTTTTTTTTGATTTCCAATATTAAGTTTTTATTTCTAGATCTAGATTTTTGCATTAGCTTTTAATCTTTTGCTAAAAAATCATAAATTTTAATAAATAAACCATAATGAGTGAACCAAGATCTAAACAATTCGAAAACATATTTTATGGGCTTTCTAATACCCCAGGTATCCTTAAGCTTGCTCCAAGCGGGATTGGTTGGAAAACTTCTGATTCAGAAAACATAGTAACGATTTCGGCTGAGGAGTTCAAGAAAATGCAATGGATGCGCGTTGCTAGGAATTATCAATTACGCATTGCATTAAAAAATGGGAACGCGGCTAGATTTGATGGTTTTAATAAAGACGTATGTACAATATTTTTTATAATTTTATATTCATTAACGTTGTATTTAAATTATCTTTTTTTTTATGTAGATGTTTGATGCTGTAAGAGATCTTATTCGAACTAATTATAAGTTACAGCTTGAGACAAAAGATCTTAGTGTTAGAGGTTGGAATTGGGGTAAAACAGAATTTCAAGGTAACTTTTGTGAATCGTTATTTTTTTTTTGTAGAGGGTATTTTATAATATATTATACTTTTTTTACTAATTATGTTGATTTTATTAAATGTAACAACAAAGGGTCACAACTACTTTTTAATATAAATAATAAAACGGCGTTTGAGGTCCCTTTATCACAAGTTGCAAATAGTAATCTTGCTAATAGAAATGAAGTCAATATTGAATTCACGCAACCAGATACGACGGAAGAGTCACAAGGCAAAAGTAAAAAATCTTCAATGCATGAACTAGTAGAAATGAGATTCTATATACCTGGAACCATGATTGTCAAGGATGAAAATGAAGAAAATGAAAAGAAAGAGGAAGGAGAAGAAGAAGAAGAAGAAGAAGATGGAGAGGAAATGAGCGCGGCACAATTATTCTATGAGACTGTCAAAGATAAAGCAGATCTTGGACAAGTTTCTGGAGAAGGACTTGCCTTATTCCAAGATATTCTTCTTCTTACACCTCGGTAAGAATTATTATTATTTAATTATCCTACGCTAAAAAATTACTGTTACAATATTTTTATATTTACCTTTTTCTTATAAGTGGTCGGTATGATATCGAAGTTTTCCCTACTTTCTTCCGGTTAAGAGGTAAAACATATGACTATAAAATTCAAATGGCAGCTGTTGTGAACTTGTTTTTACTGCCAAAACTAGATGAAGTTCATGAGTTGTTTGTTGTAAGTTTTTCCTTATGTAATTTTTAAGTAAATATTCTAGTTATATTTTAAGAAAGTAATCTGAATCATTATTTTTTATTTTCTAGATTGGGCTTGAACCACCATTGAGACAGGGTCAAACTCTATACCATTTTCTCGTCTTGCAATTTAAGCAAGATGACGAAAAGGAATTAGTTTTAAATATCGAAGAGTAATATTCATCACTTAATAATTATGTTTTATTATCACATAACAGAACTTAGAAAACCTTTTTTTTTTTAATATAGAGAGGATTTAAAACAAGAATATGGAGATAGATTACTTCCCAGATATGAATGTCCTATTCACGAAGCTGTTAGTGCTGTTTTTCAAGGACTCACAAAGAAGAAGATAAATCGACCCTCAACATTCACAAGGTTTGTTTTAAAAGATGTTTTTTTTTTAAAAAAAAAAATATATATTTTTAAAACTTTATTTTTATAAACTTTTGTAGTAAGCATGAAGATGTAGCTGTAAAAGCTTCTTTGAAAGCGAATGAAGGTTACCTTTATCCGCTTGAAAAATGTTTCTTATTCGTTCCAAAACCTCCAACATATCTTCCATTCTCGGAGATATTAAGTGTTACATTCTCCAGGTATTTTATTATTTATTTTTTTAGGATACTTTCAATTAGTTTGTTTTAACAATCAATTAAGCGAATTTTGGTTGTAATTTAGAGTATCTGCGAGTCTAACCAAAAAGAATGATCTGGGAGGACCGAGAACATTTGATATGAAATTCAATATGAGAAGTGGTACAGAATTTGGGTTCTCCAGTCTTAATCGGTATTGTTATAAAGTTGTTAAAGTTAACATAATGTTTTATACGTTATAATAATTAATTAATTTGTCTTTTACTCATTAGGGAAGAATATGAAGTTTTAGAATTGTACCTAAGATCCAAAAATATAAAGACGATAAAAGACACAGCAGATGAAGTAAATAATGGTTTAATTATTATATTTCTTTTTAAAATTATTTCTTGGATTTAAATTGAATTGACGTAATTTTTTTCAGACTGCATTGTCATATTCTGAATTTATGAAAGAACTTGATGATGATGATGATGAGGTTATGCCCGCCGCTAAACGACGTAAGAGTGAATCGGTTGATCCAGATGACGAAGATTCAGAAAGTGAGGTTTTACAATTAATGTGATGGTCTCTCTTTTTTATTTACAATTTACAATTTATTAACCTATTAAAATTATAATGTTATAGTGGATGAGGATTTCGTTGCCAGTAGTGAAGAGAGTGATGTGGCAGAAGAATATGATGAAAATTATTCAGGCAGTGAATCATCGGAAGACGAGAAAAAAAGCAAGAAAAAAACCTCAAAGCCAAAATCAGGAAAAACAGGATAGGTTTTTCCTGAATTCTAGATTTTTTCTAAAAAATAAATTTGAAATTTTATAACAGATAATTTTATAAAATTTATTATATTATTTGGGTGAATGCTAATAAAAATTTCAAATTCTAAAGAAAATTTTGATCATTTTTTTTTGATTTGCTGATCTGCAGATCTATTAATAAATCGAATGCGCAGCTTGCAGATCAACATAATAGTTTTATTAATTTTATTAAACAATCTTTTTTTTCTAGAAAATTTATAAAAGAATGGCGGCATTACCCAAAGCAAAAAATTATATATTATTTACTGACACGTTCGCAATCAATGATATGGATAAAGAAGGCAAAAAATTCGATCGTGGTATGTTATTACCAAATTCTTGTTAAATTGGCTTCCTACCTAAGCATGGAAGGGTAATTTCGAAGTTTGAACGAACACGGATTTGTCTGCCCATAACTCCATACACACAGAGAATAAATAAATTCAGGACTGTTGCAATAAAACTAACAAATATGTTGTTATTAAAATTGCGTTTTAAACAGTAAAATGAATATCCTTCCGTATCTGCAAAGACGCGTTCGTTTAACACTTCCAATTTTTTATATTTGTATGAACTTCTGCCTGAACTAATTTTTCCTCTCTCTCACTTTTCTATCTGGTATTTTTGCTTAAGTGTCACGGTTTACCGGTAGAGGAGAGAATTTAGAGATGGAATTGACAATAGATATAAACACAGAGTTATGTTCATTGGATATAGGAGACAAAGTAATGTTGATGTTGACAACATCATTATCATTAGATACAGCAAATATAGCCCAAAGCGAAGAAACAATATTACCATTTCCTATTATGGCACAAGATGATCAGCAAGAAAAATCTTCTTGGAGAGAAAAATCTAATATGGAAAGAGATTTAAGTGATGATTTCGAATATGTTATGTATGGTAAAGTTTACAAGTATGACGAAGAAAAAAGAAGTAAAGTGTAAGTATTTTTAAAATATTTAAAGCGATAAAGAAAAGAAGCAAGTTATATTGTAATTAACTTTAATCGCTTATTTTAGAGCTGTATATGTATCATTTGGAGGATTGCTTATGTCATTAGAAGGAGATTTTCGTCATGTGCAAAATATTCATGTCGGTCAAAACGTATACATGTTAATGAAACATCAAATATGAAATAATAATATTACTAGATAAAATAATTTAATAATTAAGATGGATTTTTAAAATTATTTTATTTATCAAAGATTATTTTTAATTATTGATAAAAAAAACATGACAAAAAAAATTATTAATAATAAAATGAATTATGATTTGCCATGTATAATGTGAATATATAAATATGCATATCTTAATACTAATAATACATAATATTGATTTGTACAAATCTTTGATCCTAGTATGAATGATATTATATTTATAAATAACCCACAAGTGTGAACAGACTATGCTCACCCTTTCAGTTCCGGTCTTACTATTATTATATGAACTAATATAAGAACTAGCATGGATGGAGCTCATACTTAATTTGAATATTTAGCCTTTCCAATTTTTTCCAAATAAATTCCCAATTTTTCCTCAATTGTAGGAATTGTAGGACTATCATCACCCTTCTTTAACAATCCTGCTTCAATAATCTGGGGAGAATTTCCAGACCGGCTTATATGTTCTACTGGATAATAACCAGTCAATCTATTTATATAACCCCATGGTCTATATTTACCTTGACCAACTAATGGTAGATATACACTAGTAATTAATACCCCAAGAAACGTTAAGGTGCTATATATTGCCACTGGTATTGTTATCGTAATCACTTCTGTTGTTACTGGTACATCAAATGAAGCTAAAAATTAAGAAGAAAATTATAATAAGTAAAAATTATAATAATATTATTAATTAGCCATAATTAGGAAAAACTTACCGGCTCGAAAAGTGAATTTATTAGTAAAGCTAACACCAGGAACAGTTTGAGAAGAATCTCTAAATTCTTCAATAATATTATATTTAACATCATTTACTACTTTTCCTTTAAGATCAATATGTTTAGTTCTGGTAAATTGTATAGCTCTATTAGCATCAGGGTTTACTGATACAAATCTATTGAAATCAAAAAGAGTATCTCTTTGTAAAGGATCAAATATATTAATTAATAATGGCGAGACTCCAAGTCCATCATCGGCTCTTGTAGTAGTAAACACCATATCAGGCACATTGGGAACTGGAGGAGGATTTTTAATTAAAGCTCGATCAACACCGACAGGGGGACTTAATATCCAACAACGTGCCACTAGTCCTTTAATTGAACTTAATTCATAAGAATCTATTGGATATTGTTTCAGATAGGTACCTCTGTCAACTGTTTGATTGTATATTTCTATAGAAAATAAATAACTTGTTTCTCTTGTTAAGCAAAAAGTTAATGCCGGTGGAACTAATGCTTTTTCGGAATTAATGCTAAATGCTTCTGTTGGTACATTTACAGTTTTATATACCGAATATAACTGATAACCAAATATTACTAATAATGCGAATACTAATAACGAATGTAATATACGAACAACCAAAGGTGATGCATGTGACATTTTTAATTTTTTCTTTACTTTGAGAGGAGATGTCTTTTTTATCAAAAGATACTCTTTTTTTTTTTCAAACAAATCAATTATTATTTATATTTATATGAATGCATGATTTATTTGTTATGGTTGCAGAAATTCTATTTGCGTTATAAATGATATATCGGAGTTGGAGTTGTGTATCTATTAAAGGGTTCAATATAAACAAATAGTCCTTAATTTGATCTCAATTTGTGGTTGTATGGAATGTAAAATACCTATAATTAGAAAACACACGTGTGAAACGATGAAATGATCGAATCAATTGCTTATTTTATTATACTTTTATTATTTTTATATTATTAATCATTATTAAAGACTGATAGGAAAAACTTGCCATCGTTAAAAAAAAAAAAGTTTGATTTATCGGATTTAATCACAATGAGAAAAAATTACGAGTTCTTTTTTTTCTTTTTTTGCTCATCGAGCTGCCTTAGTAAGCTAAGATTACAATTGGTTTCTATTGCATATATGCCTACTTCTGAAACAAGTAACAAATTTGTAAGTTCTTGCCTTAAAAAAAAGATTACGGTTTGGAATGACTCTTATTGAATCCCATAATTTCGGCCCATTTTCCATCCTAAATTTCCATCAATAAAATATAATTTGGATCAAAATACAACAAAGATGGTGCTAAAGCCGCAATGATGTGTACTGGAAGACTGGAAACTATTGGTAATTTCCATTTTTCCCAATCCCAACCTTTCAATTCTTTATGTACTGTATATACAGTGAATTAAAAAAGGTAATTGGAATTACAAAAAGTGCAAAAAATGAAAAATCGGTGATTATGTTTCAAATTTTGCAGATTTGTTATTAAATATGTAAATATCATATGTATAAACATTTCACTTATTTCTTTGTCATACAATTGATTTTCTTCATCATATTGATATTGCCTCATCCTTTAATATTAAAATTCAAATTAAAATAATTATAAAGGATTTTAATAAAATCTATTAACTTGATAAAATTAATGATTTTTAATTTCAATTTACTGAAAAACTAATTTTTAACAGCAATTATAAATATAATTTTTACGTTTATTATAGGTAAAAATATACAACTGATTATGCTATCGAATTAATTTACTATATTTTGTAAAACTTTTTAAACAAAGCAAAATAAATAAAATATACTTCGATCATATTACTCATATTACTGAGATATTTATTTTATTTTATTAAATATAGACGTAGACTGGGGGGTAACAAGAGAATTCCCTTAATTCCCTACCATTACAAATAGTGAGTAAAACGATACAAAAGTTAACACCCAACCCCCTAGCGGAATTTTCCGACCTCATATTGACAATTCTAGGCGTGACCTAATTTCTACTAACTATATTCATATTACTAGATATTGGGAATTTTTTAGTTGCTTCCAAGTTCCATGATTCATATGATCTACCAGGATTTACTCTTATTCTCGCAATACACCAGTTTGCACGTTTGCACCAATAATATTTCGCAAAAAATACTATATAAGTATCAAACTTTTATGCCTTGTCAAAGGAGATAAACTCTCAAAAAAATTCTCAGTTAAGATTGATAAGGATAAATCTATTTTTGAACTAAAGAGAGTTATCAAGGCGAAAAATCAAAATTGCTTTGCTGGTATAGACGCAGACAGGCTTAAGCTATGGAAAGTAGGAATTCCTATCAAACAACAGAGTCCTGAATTAACCGCCGTCAGTAATTTTAGCGTCAACATTAAGGAGGAGCTTGGTGGTGTTGAGTTATCACCATTTGATGACATATCAGAACACTTTGATGACGATTCCAAAAAACCCGTTAAAAAGAACCTGCACATTATTGTTCAACCGCTAATTGAAGACAGCAAAGAGGTTCATTGCACTGCATCTTACGGCAACCGTAATAACAAAATAACTTTTCAATGGACAGTTACCCGAGAAATGGTGACTTTGGCAGGTTTGAAGAAAAGACTCTGTGAATATTTTACGTTTCCCGATTGGACAGAATCCGAACATCTTGTCATAAGTCGTGTTGTTGGCAAAAGATTTGGTACGAAATCGAAATCTAGTTCAAGTAAAACCATTCATATATCTACCGATGAGGATTTAGCTAGTATTATTTGGACTCCTGCACCTAAAATGGATTTGAAAATAGTCGTAGATACACGTGAGTTGTTGTTCATAAATTTATTTGGTTCGTCAGATATTCATTAAACTTTTACAATTAACAGCGCAACAAGCGCAACAACAGTTTAGTTCGTATACTTATTCAAAGATGAGAACTCTTTTCGGTTTGCAAGTCAATGATTACTATAATTTGCCGACAGAAGTATTAGTTCACAATGCTAATATATAAAGGAACCTTTTAGATAATGTGATTACGAATATTTTGAGATACCATAAGGCATCCCCACATATCACCTGTGACATAAATGAGCCTTCCCGTCGTGTATTTATTTCATCAATTATCTATGCTGTAGCATCATCATTCGATGGTGACGTAAAGATTTTTTCTGAATACGAAGTTTCTGGGAGATACGGCAAAGGGCTCATTGACTGGATTATAAGGATAGGAGATATTATTATCCACGTGACTGAAGCAAAAGGAAATGTTATTAGCCATGGAATTGGACAGAGTACCGTCCAAGCGCATGCATCTATGCAACGCAATAAACTTAAACGTAGCTACGATGATGCTGATTTATACGACGAAGAAATGTTTTGCATTATTTCAACTGGTATGCTAATGAAACAAAACCAAAAAAAGATTCAAAATGGAGAAATGCGTGAATATACTAACTTCTTTGATATTCCTAACTCCAGGTATCGAATGGATAATGACAAAAGTCATACTAAAAAGTAACAGTAATGGTGGGAACGTTGAGGTCCGTGTATGTTTACCGATACCTGACCCAATACCAATTAACAAAGTATCATTAAGCCGTGGTGATATTCGTGAGCCTGTAAGCAAATTGTTATTGCAAATCAAGGGGCTTCTTGAAGAGCAGAAGAATTCGTTGGTTAGTGGAAAGCGTCATCGCAGTTGTCAATAAAGTTTTAATATATTTAGGAATGGTAATTACTTCACCGGTATCACGTTGATAATATTCTTACATGATTTATTATTGTTTAAAATTAGTAATAATTAATCTAGTAACGCGATTTAATGTATTGTTAATATATTGTTTGATGTTTATTGATAGTAATAAAGATGTTATCAATAAAAGGTATTTGACATTTCACTTTGATCAAATTTGATTTGATTTTAATATATAATTAAATAATTATCAACTAAAATGATGACCGTCTCCCTGCTTTACCATCACCTTTCCTATCCTTGCTTGCAACATTCTGACACCCATATCTGGGAAAAAATGATAGGAACTATGAGAAACGGATGCCCTCTTAATGCTACAATGTCTCAGATATTTACGTGGTAATAAATGAAGAATTTTTGCTGACGATGAAGAATTCTTCATCAAATTGTTGAATTGCCGACGATGAAGAATTCTTCGTCAAATTGTTGAATTGCCGACGACGAAGAATTCTTCGTCAAATTGTTGAATTGCCGACAATGAAGAATTCTTGAATTGCTGACGATGAAGGAAGAATTCAACTTACTAAATTAGAATATTTAAATTTGGAGCAGATTATTTCTATGGGGGAGATTTTTTTAACATTGCTTGAATCAATAGTACTGTCACATTTGAGACATAAGTACCTTCGTTCAATGAATTTGCATAATTAGGTACAAAGGCAGGGTTCTGTGGCACCATTCGTCGTGCAGGTTTAAGGAACGTTTTTTATAAGATGTTTCACTAAATCCGACTTACAGTGCGGTACCTCTATAACCGACCCAATTTTATAGTCATAATGTGACATTTTCAAAAAGATGTCACATTAGCAAAAAATAATATTTTAAAATTCTAACCGATAATTTTAATAAAGCATATCAAGAGCTTTTAAACTTATCAGATTAGATTAAAAAATAATGAATTTTGCTAGTGTTACATAAGTTTGAAGTTCGGGTAATTTATTATGATGGGAAAATTTTGAGAATAAGTGATTTTTGTGTAACATAAAAAAAAATAATCATTTGATAGTGCTTATTAAAATAAATCATTTTAGCTTATAAACTTACCCATGCTTTGTTAAAAAAATTTTGAAAAAAAATTAAAAAAAATTTTGGTAGTTTTTATTTATTACAAATTATATTATGCTTATTTCTCAAAAAGGAATTACAGGAAAACTTGCTAAAAAAAATATAAATTCTATAGAAAAGTTTCTGATGATATACTTAATCAAATTACTTTTAAATACAGTCAGCCCCCTTTATAGTCACACCCCTTGGAACCGAAAAAAAAGGATGTGATTATAAAAAAAGTCATATGTTGTGACTATAGAGAAGGTTTTTCTAATATATTTATTAGTACATTGGGCCAAAATATGGTGTGCTTATAAAGAGGAATTTTATATGTTGTGATTATACATGGGTGACTATATAGGGGGTCGACTGTAATTATAATAAATAATAAATTATATATAAAAAATTATGTATACAGTCAGCCCCCTTTACAGTCACCTCATATATAGTCACACCCTTCCCTTAGTTACATTTTGTATTAGTACTGATTTTTGATTTATAAAAACACCTTCTTTACAATCACGCATATAATAAAAATATAATCACATCAATTATTAGTCCCGATGTTATAATAAATATAATAAATTTGCCTTCCATATAATCACATAAAAATTTTCTCCCTATATAATCACTGTAAAACATGTGATTTGACATTATTTCGTGCGACTTGATTATCTATAAAATGTACGCGCAGTACACGCAGTACACTGTACACGTAATTTGCGCAGTTTGTGCAGTTTTTTACTTATTATGCCACCTATCCGTTTAGAAAAACCAAGAAGTACTCGAACTGCTATTAGTGTTGAAGTCAAAAAAGAAATTTGTGAATATATAGTAGCAAACCCAAATGTAAATCAAGGTGACGTTGCCACATTTTTTAATACAAAATATCAAAATTTTGGTGTTGATAGAACAACCATTAATAAAATATGGAAAGAGCGTGAAAAGTGGCTAGCTGTTTTATCTACTTCACAAACTCCACATATCTTTCGCCATCGTTCTGTTCAATTTCCAGAACTTGATAAAGCTATGCAAATTTGGACTTCACAAGCAACAGCTGCTGGATTGCCTTTAACTGATATGATATTACAGCAAAAAGGAAAAGAATTTGCCAAAATGTTAAATATAGAAGATCAGTTAAAGTGTACTAATGGCTGGGTTTATAGGTTTAAAGTGCGAAATGGTCTTCAAAAAGTCAATTTTTCAGGAGAAGCTAACAGTGCACCACTTGAAACTCTCCCAGAAGAACGTCTACGTTTACGTACTCTTTTGGCTAAATATAATGAGGAAGATATTTACAATGCGGATGAAACAGGACTATTTTTTTGGATGGAACCAAATCATACTCTTGGTTCAGGTAAAATTTCTGAATGAAAACAGGTAGAAATTTGTATTAATTTATTTTGTTTTTACATTTTATTTATTTTTATTATTAAATTTAAAATATTTATAATTATAATTTAGGATAAGAGCTGCCTTTCAGTTCTTTTATGTAGCAATTCTACAGGTTCTCACAAATTTCCACCACTTGTAATTGGAAAGGCAAATAATCCTCGCTGCTTTAAAAATATCAATAGGACATCTCTTCCTGTAACTTATCGTGCTAATTCCAAAGCATGGATGAGATCAGATATTTTTGTTGAATGGCTTCACCATCTTGATAACTGGTTTCGTGTAATGGATCGAAAAATTTTACTCCTCATTGATAATGCAGGATCTCACTTTAATCCAAAAACATTTGATGAAGACAGTTCTGATTTAAGTGAGGATAATGAAGAAAATGTTGCAGAGTCTTCCCATTCAGCTCAAAGTAGAACAAAATCTAAAAAAAAAGTGACAAAAAAAAAGCCTAATATTAAACTCACTAATATTAAGCTTATTTATCTTCCTCCAAACACAACTGCTCACCTTCAGCCAATGGATGCCGGAATTATCCACAGCTTTAAATCCAAGTATAAGCAAGAATTTTGTAAGCATCTGATTCAACAATTTGATAATGGAATAGATCAAAAAAGGTAAATTTAATTATTTATGAAACTTATTTAATCATTAATTAATTTTTAATAATATCAATTTTATTAGAAATAAATTAAATATTAAGGAAGCCATTAACTATATAGCTGAAGCGTGGGAAGACGTCACTCCAACAACCATCCAGAATTGTTGGAAAAAGACAGGTATACTTCCGGCTTCTGATTTTCTTGTGGATGATAGTAATATGCAAGATTTTGAAATAGATGAATCAGATGAATTAGACGGAATTAATATTGATTGTTTGCCAGAAGTTGATGAATTACGAGAATATCTCTAGATGCTTGATCAAGATATTCCAACTGAAGAACAACTCAATGATGAACAAATTATTAATTTGTTGCAGAATGAAAATGACGAAAGTGATGATGATGATTCTGATGAAGAAATATTATTGGTATCAGAAAAACAAGGAGTTGATGCACTAAAAATTTTTATCAATTATTTTGAGCAGCAAAACGATCCAGAATTTAACATTGATGATTTGCGTATTTTTCGAAAATATTTGAGAATTGCTAGAATTAAAGAAATAAATTCGAAAAAACAAAGCACTCTTGATATGTTTTTGTTGTAATATAATATTATAATTTAGGAATATTAATAATAGGTAATATAATAGTAATATACAGTATAATAGTAATAAAAAATGTTCATTACGCAAATGCAAATGAGGACCCCGGATATCTAATATAAAGGTCATAATGGACTTTTGGCCGAAAACACCCCTTTTTGCTGAAACTCAAAAAATCGTTTTTTGTATATATCTCAGCATCCAGTAATTCAATTTTAATGAACTTTTTTTTATTTTGTAGCCCTCATTTAGCTCTACAATTTAAAAAAAAGTTCATCAAAATTGGACCACTGGATGCCGAGATATTTACAAAAAACGATTTTTTGAGCCCCTGAAAAATGTGCCAATCTGCCAAAAGTGTGACTTATGACCTGTTTTGGAGATATCTGGGGTCCTTGCAAATGTATTTTTTCGTGATTATGTTTCGTGTAATTATAAAATTGACGAAATATTAAAAATTTATATATAGTCACATGGTTCAAAATTTTTATATATATGTGACTATATAAATATAAGCACACTCACATATAATCACATCATAAAGTAGTCCCGAAGGGTGTGATTTTAGAGGGGGCTGACTGTAATTCTAATTAACATTAAGTATTGCATTAGCCAATCAAATTTATTTTAAGTCATGTGATTTTGTATTATGTCAGCAAAAAAATTTGAGAAATTTTTTTTATTTGCTTAATGTATTTATCTTTTTAAAGGCTATTTAATTTTAAAATTTTATAAAATTCTGACCATTAAATCACAAGATATAAGGGGTACCTATTATAGAGGTACTGCACTGTATCATTTATAACCTGGCTGGTGAAATGATTATCTCACTTGAGACTGCATGTTCATTAATCTAAGAGAGAATTGCTGCGAGTGGTGTTGTTTTTTATCTATCATCCTTCAAAATTCATCAACAGCCAAAGAAGTTTAATCACTAGCATAAAATAATTTAATCTCGAAATAAACCAATATGTTACTAAAAGACTAAACATTATGGCAATAACATGTAAGAGTAAAGGGGATGTAGTTAATTGAACTAAATGATAATGATTGAACATAAACTAATAAAAAATATTTGAATTATTGTCTTGCGCTTCATTCTATATCTCAGATTTGCTTTTTTATTCTTATTGATTTCATTTATACAATTAATATCTTTTTATTGTTGTTTTTATTGTTTTTATTGTTTTTTCTTTTAGTTTATATCCACTATCAGCTACTCGGAGTTGTCAACACATCACATTATTGTCTCAGGAACGTATTCTAGTTCTTGAACACATGACCAAGTCGAATTACTTTTGAAGATGGCAAAATACAATAAAAAAAATAAAAGAATAAAAATAAATCTATAGGTTGATGATCATCAAATATTACAGAGTGAAAAATCCACACTAATAAACATCAAATCCTAAAGCTTTGACTTACCTCTAGGTTTAACTTCATAGTAAAAATCACAACCACAATAATTTTTATATCAAATTGTTCATAAAAATGGGCTCTTTTAAGTGACACCTTTCTTTTTTTTGAAATTTATATTATTTTTATTATTTTTGTAAAAAAAATGCGATGTAATTAAAAAAGAATTTTCAAAAAATTAAGCATCTTCACGTGCCAAATTCCTAAAACTTTGCGCCAGCGATAACGCAGAAAAATTAAGCAATAAATATCTTGTGTATGAGGCAGAATGGAAATGAATCGTGATGGTAAGTGTAAATCGTTATTGTATTATTTTTTTACCTCAGTTGCTAATACTTCCGTAACTATTCTGTAGGTTTCTGTAGGTTCAAAATTACTCAATCCTGGAGAAGGTTTTTTGTTATTTTATTTAATCTGCACAGGTGTAAGAGATATTATAGATAGACAAAACTTCTATAGATATGGGTGGGATAATTTATTTTGGAAATCTAGTGTAGTAGCGATAGAAATAAATTAGCTGTAGATGTTTTTTGTAAATGTGAGAGAGCAATTGATGCTGGAACTCACATTAAATGGCCTTGGATAGGACCCCGAACAATATATATAAAGGTAGGTTTTGAGTTTGCTTAACCAACATATATAAATTTTTCCTATGTGAGATTTATTATTGCTTATTTGATAACATAATTTTTAAATAGTCAGATATAATTATGCGTAGCAGAGTATTAAATTATTAATAGTCAGATATATATTTGCATAGCAGGATAGAATTTTTTAATATATATATATAATATAATATATATTTACATTTTCACATTAAAAAAATCTAATAAAATATGTAAACAAAGTTATAAAC